TCGATGTGTCACGGATGCCGGAACTCCCGGGGGCTGTCTTCGGGGACCTCAAGATCGCCCCAGTGCTGCCCCAAGGAACATCAAGGGAGCTTCCGAAGGGCTCAATAGTCGGGATCAACGGGTGGCAAGCCTCAAGATCACCCCGGACAGGCCCAAGAGGCTCCCCAAAGGCTATATGTCTCGGATTTTCCATCGGCTTTGGAAGGGATTGGGCGTCACCGCTTGTTCGGGCTTCCAACCGCCCAAGACGGCCCAAGATGCATCCAAGATCGCTGCAAGTCAGACCAAGAAGCTCCCAGGACGGCTCCAAGACGGCCCCCAAGAGGTCCCCAAGACGGCCCAAGGGACCTCCCAAGAGGGCTCCAAATTCTCCCAAGAGGGCCCCAGGAGGGGAAATCCGCACTGCCATGTCGAACCCTTCCCCGAAAGATGGCAAGACCCCATCTAGAAGCCCCAAGAGGCCCCAAGTGACCCCAAGAATACCACCAAAGGCCGCCGAGGGGCCTCCCAAGAGACCCCAAGAAGCCTCCCAAAGAGGCGTCGAGTCCACGATCCAGTTTGGCCCCAAGAGTGTCCCAAAAAGCTATCGCGACGCCCGCGACGCCTCCTCCTCCTCCTCCTCCTCCTCCTCCTCCTCCTCCTCCTCCTCCTCCTCCTCCCCCTCCTCCTCCTTCCTCCCCCTCCCCCTCCCCCTCCCCCTCCCCCTCCCCTCCCCCTCCCTCCTCCTCCTCCTCCTCCTCCTCCTCCTCCTCCTCCTCCTCTCCTCCTCCTCCCCTCCTCCTCCTCCTCTCCTCCTCCTCCTCCTCCCTCCTCCTCCTCCTCCTCCTCCTCCTCCTCTCCTCCTCCTCCTCCTCCTCCTCCTCCTCCTCCTCCTCCTCCTCCTCCTCCTCGTCACGAGCACACCCGTACAAAGACCAGTGCGATAGCATGGGCCGGCGGAATGAGCGAAGCGGTTCAATTCGCCGGGCCCCCTGCGAGCCCTGGTCGCGTTGTGAGCTCGGAGGGCAGATGATGAGACGGACGATGGTGGAGGGGAGTGAGACGCTTGCATAAGGCACGCTATGAAGGGCTTCGCCCTCTTCGCCAGCCTCAAGGCGGCCGGTTCCGAACAACCCTCCTCGCGGCACGTAAAAACACTAGTAAAGCTTCGCGCATTTCGCCCGCCGATTCCGTACAACCATCCTGGGGACACGTGAAAACACAAACAAAACGTGCTCCCAGCGCCAGACCCGCGCGCGTGACAGCTCCTGGTGCGCGCAAATGTCGGCGCACCCCTCACACAGTTGCTGCGCCCACCAGGCCTCTGAGACACGTAAAACATTAGCCTGGCGAAGGACCCAACCATATGCAGTTGTGAATGCCGCAATTGTGCTGGGTGGTGGCGGACGCATGCGGGCGGTGCCACTGGGACCTTCGGTGGAGCTCCCTATGGGGCCACGAAACGCTGTACTGGGTGGGTGAGACGCGGTCAGCAAGGGCTGTGCTGCGTGGTGGCGGACGCATGCGAGCGGTGCCACTGGGACCTTCGGTGGAGCTCCCTATGGGGCCACGAAACGCTGTAATGGGTGGGTGAAACGCAAGCAGGGGGCAAGGGCTGCGCAGGGTGGTGGCGGACGCATGCGGGCGGTGCCGCTGGGACTTTCGGTGGAGCTCCCTATAGGGCTACGAAGCGCTGTTCTGGGTGGGTGAAGCGCAGGGAACAAGGGCTGTGCTGCGTGGTGGCGGACGCAAGCGGGCAGTGCCACTGGGACCTTTCGTGGAGCCCCCTGTGGGGCCACGAAACGTGCGAGGGGTGTGCCAGAATGGGGTGTGGAACCGCATGCCAGCGCAGCCACTGGGGCCTTCGGTGGAGCTCCCTATGGAGCCACGAAACGTGTGAGGGGTGTGCCGAAATGGGGGGTGGAACCGCATGCGAGCGCAGCCACTGGGGCCTTCGGTGGAGCTCCCTATGGGGCCACGAGACGTGTGAAGGGCGTGCCGAAAAAAGGGGTGGAACCGCATGCGAGCGCAGCCACTGGGGCCTTCGGTGGAGCTCTCTATGGGGCCACGAACCGTGTGAGGGGTGTGCCGAAATGGGGGGGGAACCACATGCGAGCGCAGCCACTGGGGCGTTCGGTGGAGCTCCCCATGGAGCCACCCACGAAGCGTGTGAGGGGTGTGCCGAAATGGGGGGTGGAACCGCATGCGAGCGCAGCCACTGGGCGTTCGGTGGAGCTCCCTATGGGGCCACGAAACGTGTGAGGGGTGTGCCAGAATGGGGGGTGGAACCGCATGCGGGCGCAGCCACTGGGGCCTTCGGTGGAGCTCCCTATGGGGCCACGAAACGTGTGAGGGGTGTGCCAGAATGGGGGGTGGAACCGCATGCGGGCGCAGCCACTGGGGCCTTCGGTGGAGCTCCCTATGGGGCCACGAAGCGTGTGAGGGGTGTGCCAGAATGGGGGTGGAACCGCATGCGGGCGCAGCCACTGGGGCCTTCGGTGGAGCTCCCTATGGGGCCACGAAACGTGTGAGGGGTGTGCCAGAATGGGGGGTGGAACCGCATGCGGGCGCAGCCACTGGGGCCTTCGGTGGAGCTCCCTATGGGGCCACGAAACGTGTGAGGGGTGTGCCAGAATGGGGGGTGGAACCGCATGCGGGCGCAGCCACTGGGGCCTTCGGTGGAGCTCCCTATGGGGCCACGAAACGTGTGAGGGGTGTGCCAGAATGGGGGTGGAACCGCATGCGGGCGCAGCCACTGGGGCCTTCGGTGGAGCTCCCTATGGGGCCACGAAACGTGTGAGGGGTGTGCCAGAATGGGGGGTGGAACCGCATGCGGGCGCAGCCACATTCCACGGTGGAGGGGTGTGCCAGAATGGGGGGTGGAACCGCATGCGGGCGCAGCCACTGGGGCCTTCGGTGGAGCTCCCTATGGGGCCACGAAACGTGTGAGGGGTGTGCCAGAATGGGGGGTGGAACCGCATGCGGGCGCAGCCACTGGGGCCTTCGGTGGAGCTCCCTATGGGGCCACGAAACGTGTGAGGGGTGTGCCAGAATGGGGGGTGGAACCGCATGCGGGCGCAGCCACTGGGGCCTTCGGTGGAGCTCCCTATGGGGCCACGAAGCGTGTGAGGGGTGTGCCAGAATGGGGGGTGGAACCGCACGCGGGCGCAGCCACTGGGGCCTTCGGGGGAGCTCCCTATGGGGCCACGAAACGTGTGAGGGGTGTGCCAGACTGGGTGTGGGAGGGAGAGGAGGGGGGAGGAAGGGGAGGAGGAGGAAGGAGGAGGATGAAGGAACGCGGGGCGACGTCTCTTCAAAACGAGGACCCAACACCACAGGATGGTTGGGAATAAAGGAATCGCAGCACAATTCTCCTTGGAGCTTCACTTCGGCACACCCCTCACGCACTTCGTGCATTATGGGAGCTCGGCTGGCCCCAAAGACTGCTCCTTGGGCCAGGGGCGATCCGTTGGCCCTCCGGACGGATAAAGTGGGCTTCGATTCGGCACACTCCTCACGCACTTCAAGCCTCCTGCACTTTCAGGGGCCCTCAGCTGACCCCTCAGACACTTCGTGGCTCATGGGTCTCCAAAGGACCTCCGTTGGCTCAGGAGACCGCCTGCCCCACCCCCCCCGAAAGGCGCCAAGACGGCCCAGTGAAGAATTGCAACGATTGGTACCGACCCTCGTCGAAGCCGCACCCCGAACACCCACTGATTGCAACATCTGCGTGCGCCTTTCCCTCTGGGGGTCCGCCGTGACTCCCGCTCTGCGGGCTCGCTTCGGCGGGCCCCCTGCGGGCCGTGGCCGTGTTGTAGGCGTGGAGGGCAGACGATGAGATGGAGGATGATGGAGGAGCGTGAGACGTATGCATGGATGCATGCTAGGAACGACCTCGCGCATTCCGCCGGCCGACCTAATGCCGGCCGATTGTATGAATTCTCCTCAGGGCACGTCAAGATACAACTGACATGTGTTCCCAGGCCCACGAACGTGAAAGCTCCTGGGAGACTTACAAACACGAGTGAGATGCGCCCTCAGGGCTGCGAAAGTTTTGTTTCGGCGCATCCCTCATGAATTTCCTCTCTGACATCATTCTGTGGAACGCGTAAGAATACGAGTGAGCAACGCCTTCATGGCTACGACACTGCCATTTCGGCACACTCCTCACGCATGTTCTGCTCCACGCTCTACTTGGACACGTGAAAATACGGGTGATCTGCTGTCCGAGGCCGTTCCCCCCCCCCCCCACGGGACGCCAACATGGCCCCAAGAAACATTACTTGGGCGCCCGACTTATCCGGGGTAACTCGGGTCCGGGGTAACTCGGGTTTGGATTCCCGAAAAAGGAACCCGAGTTAGCCCTGACCCGAGTTACCCCTGATGATTCGGGGCCCTGGACGCCCGAGTTATCCGGGGTAACTCGGGTCCGGGGTAAGTCGGGTTCGGAATCCCGAAAAACGAACCCGAGTTATCCCTGACCCGAGTTACCCTGATGATTCGGGGCTCTGAATTACAACGAATGGAGTACCGACCCCCTTCGGTGCAGTATCCCTAACGCCCACCGCTGGCAACATCTGCGTGCGGGCTTCCCCCATGGGGGGCCCGCCGTGGCTCCCCCACCGCGGACTCAGAACGCACCACCCCCAACCGGGCGAAGCCCTCTTGACGGCCCCCAGCGCCCCAGAAGAAGGAATCGAACAGTGCAGGGCCCATCTAAGGGGAAAACAAACCTACCTCGCTTTTGAGCACCCTCGCTTCCAAGAGATACCAAACGATGCCAAATTGCAGCCTGTACTGGTCAGGCCGCTTGACGAGGAGGCGCGTGGTATGGCTTGGTTTTGCCTGGAAGCGAAAGCGGGGTAGGTAATTCACGCTCTGACCATCAGCAAACGCCCAGGGTTGTTCAGCCAACGCCGAGTGGGGGGGGGGTCGGGGTGTGCTTTCCCTCCCGCGCTCCTTGTGCTCCATCAGCAGCTCGATCTCCTCCGTGGTGGCGTTGCGGGCGACGGCCTCGGCGAGAGCGGCCGTGGCCGGGACGCACGCGTGCTTGCCGTCCTCGTCGGTCTCGGCCTTGTAGCCCCACTTGCACATGCACAGGCCCTTCTCGCAGAACGACGTCGTGAGGCCGGCGCTGTAGCAGAAACGGGTCAGGTGGCACGTGGCGTCTGGCACGCGGGCCACGCAGTATCGCGACTTGATGTGCATGGTGCTGGCGGGGTACCTGCAGTAGCCTTCGTTGCAGTAGCAGCTGCCGAGCGTGCAGTGCGTTGGCCCGCGGCTCGCAGAGCACCCCCAGAACTTGCAGCTGCCCACCGCGCCGGTGTTCATGGCCAGAGGGCACTCCAGGCCCGCAGCGCAGCCGAGGAGGCACAGGCCAGCGCAGCTCGCGATGAGGCTCGGCATGGGTGCTCTGGGGGGCGGGGGGGGCGCGATGGACAGGGCCCACTCGAACGGCAGATGCTTGTACCTCGCTCGAGGAGAAGCGACGCTCCGGGGCAGGTCACCTCTCTTTGCGCTGCGCGCTGCGCGAGAGCGCAGCCGCGAAGGCGACGTGGCCAGAAGAACGCGGGTCAAGAGCACGAGCCTCAGTCGCTGGAGCCCGTGCCCCGTGGAGACCCCCCCCAAAAAACGAGGGGCACTCCAGGGCGGAAAGACCCCAGACGCGAAGAGCCTAGGAGGGTACCCATCTAAGTTCGGGGGCAAAGGAGAACAAACCTCAGCATAGAGCACAGGCATTAACTTTCCGAGGTTCGAGCAGATTCCCTGGATCGGCGCTGGCCCCCCCTCCCTGGCGCGCGGAGCGGCGGCGCGCCGCCACCAGTGCCCAGCGCGGGTCCAAGAGACCCGCGCGGAGCTCCAAATGTTTTTGCTGATGCAAAGGGGCCTTCTTCGAATGGCAAAGCAGCGCTCCGAGGCCGGGTCAGTCTTCAACCCTCGTGCTGGCTGAACTCTTCGGCTCTCGCTTGGGGGGCCCAGAACCATGTGGTGACAGACCGCGCGGTGTGATCGAAGCCCCCCAACAAAACCCACCGCACGGCCCGTCGCCGCACGGTTTTGGAACCCCGGAGGCCCCAATCGCCCGAGACGTCCTCGGAGCACGACCCGGGTCCCGACAATGTGCGGCGACCTCGAAGCTCCACTGGCTCACCACGCGGTGTTGAAACACACCGCTGGGGGGCTCCCGATGCACCCCCCCCCCCCGGGCTTCCGTGCAACAGAGCTCCTGGAGCTCCAGCCCGGGGCCGCTTTCGGCGCGGCCCCCCCTCTGGGAGTTCTTCCGGGGGAGGCCCTGGAAGAGCTGAGGGGAACCCGCAGGGCGGGACCAGCCCAGGCCCTGATCTCAGAGGGTTATACAATGATGTATACATACATCTGTATGTATGCATACATGCATGTATGTATGCATGAATGCATGACCAGTATGTATGTATGTATGTATGTATGTATGTATGTATGTATGTATGTATGTATGTATGTATGTATATATACATGCATGCATGTATGTATGTATGTATGTGTGTATGAATGTATGTATGTATGTATGTATGGATGTATGTGTGTGTATGTATGTATGTATGCATGAATGCATGTATGTATGTATGTATGTATGTATGGATGTATGTATGTGTGTATGCATATATGTATGTAGGTAGGTATGTAGGTATGCATGTGTGCATGCATGCATGCATGCATGCATGTATGTATGTATGGACATATGCATCTATGTCTGTGTGTACGTATGCATGCATGCATGCATGCATGTATGTATGTATGTATGCATGGGTGTACGTATGTATGTAGGTATGTGTAGGTATGCAGGTATGCATGCATGCATGCATGTATGTATGTATGTATGCATGTATGTATGTATGTATGTATGTATGTATGTATGTATGTAGTGACATATGCATGTATGTATGTTTGTGTGTATGTATGGATGTATGTAGGTATATATGTAGGTATATATGTGGGTATGTGTATTTGCTTGTATGTATGTATGTATGCATGCATGCATGTATGGATGTATGTCTGTATGCATATGTATATGTATATGTATATGTATATGGATATGTATATGTATATGTATATGTATGTATGCATGCATGCATGCATGCATGTATGCATGTATGTATGTATGCATGTTGTGTGTATGTATGTGTATGTAGGTCGATCGGTAGGTAGGTAGGTAGGTAGGTAGGCAGGTAGGTAGGTAGGCATGTTTGTATGTTTGTCTGTATATATGTAAATATGTATAGCTGTACATACATCAGACACACTGGGCGAGTTCCCTACCGCTCCTTCACTCCGCCATCTGGGGCCAAGTATCGGGCACCAGGACAGCCAACAATGGATCCGGGATGGCAAAAACTGTTCCCTGGGGAAGGGGTCGGGACCCCTGCGAAGCACCGATTGAATCGGCGATACGCCGCCGATCGATCGCCGCTCCCTGGCGGGGTGGGGCACACCCGGCCCCCATCGGCGAGCGATGGGCGATCGGGGGTCGGCGCCTACCTGGCGATCGGCCCTCCCCCTGACCCCGAAGAGCGTCCAAAAGCCGAAGCCCTCCTCGATCCTCGATCCTCGTCCTCGTCCCCCTGCTCCTCCCCCCCCTCCCGGACAGATTCCGCTCGACAGCGGTCCCAAGACCAGGGCCCGTCCTGGCCAGTGTCCACTGCCACGGGTCGACTCCTGGAACGTACGGTCCATGCTCCCCACCCGGACTGGAGGTCCTAGGATGGTTCGGCGGCCAAGCCGTCTTGCAAGCGGACTCTCGGGCCGTTCCCCGATGATTTCTGGGGTGCCAGGGGGAGGGAGGGAGAGAGGGAGTGAGGGAGTCAGTGGGGAGGGGGGGGAGTGAAGGGAGGAGGATTAGGAGGAGGAGGAAGAGGAGGCAGAAGAAACTAGACAATTAACGGCAAGAGAACCGGGTGTTTCTGTCCAGCCAGCGAGCAGGTGAACGCGTTGACGCGGGTCTAACATGGGCACGTAGTCTGGCCTGACTACGTGCCCCCGAACCAACAGGGCGGAAAAGGGTCAATCTTAGACAGTGCAAGGAGCAGGTAGGACTGGCGGGCTACCGTTCGAGTCTGGTGCTCAAGCGACTCTGCCTGTGCCTCGTCGGTGGCAGCACGCAAACCGTGCCGCAACCAACGAGGCCCCATAAACAGTTGCAGCAAGATGGGTAAGCCTGGGCGCGCTCCATGAATTGCCGGACTCACCTTGGCCCCCAAAGGTGTCAACCGCAAACAACTTCTACAGCACGCGAGGGGGGGCGCCAACTACTCCCGGAAGGGCTCCTAGAGCTAGCCGAAGAAGGCTGACGCACCTCGCGATGGGAGGTGAGTCGAACTAGGGGCCTTCCACTGACCAGGGTCCTCTTAAACGTTACAAGAGGAACGAGGAGAGCAGACAATTGGAGGAGCACAATCATATGATGAACGTGCTGCACGCCAACTAATTCCCGTGGGTATGCGCTTCGCTGGGTATCTGAACGCGCTTTGGTGCCAACAGTCGACTGCGGGCTTGGAAGAAAGCCGGCACCCCCTTGGGTCCGTACGTCCCGCCAGCTCGCATGGAGTTATGCCGAGTAGATAAAGTCAGGTTGTCAGGTCTTTCAGCATGGCCAGCCACCATTCGGACACAGTCTCGGGGACTTCGTGCGCGATCACTCGCTGCAGGGAAGACACAAAGCGAGAAAGCAGGACGGCAGGGCAGGGACAAGAGAAGACAGCAGAAGCAGCAGGGACGGACAAGAAGAGAAGTGCATCACCTCATCTCCTCCGACCGCACAGCACCCGAACCTGGAGAGATCTGTTGCCTTTCGGAAGCTGCGGGCGGTGGGCCAGGCATTGCACGCAGTGCGGAGATAAGCGCTCCGGATTCACGGTGCAAGCTTACAGGATGCGATCAGCAGGTTTATCAGCGCACGATCACCGACAGGGGGAGGGGGCCTCAGGCCAAACGTACCTCACGCGCATCAGAGGATCAGGAGCAGGGGAAGGGCGAGGATGCCTCGGCCTAAGGGACTTGTATGTCTTTCTCTGTATCCCAATAGTGTCGGGGTCTCCAGGCGTAGGGGCGATCGCTGCAACATCTCTCCAACATTGCATCAGGTATTGTGTGGTCGACTGCTTCCACCATTTAGGGAATCGGGCGGGCCAAGAGGGCGTCCGCGTCGGAGACTCCATTGAACAGAAGGTAAACAAACACCATGTCATCTCCAGGCTCACTTGAACCCGAAGCGGAACGAAACGTGGCAACACGGGCAGAACATATCAGATCCCTGTGCACCGTGGGCACTCCATGTTCCCGATCCCCCGCAGACTGGCGCTGGGGATGGAAGGCGCGGCGTGCAGGAAAGCCGCTGCAGTGCCGAGTGATCAGTGGACATCACGTGCTTGGTGACAGGGTAGACTTGCCAGACGCGGGAGAGGGCAGGAATATTAAATATAACGTAGACGAGAAGGTTGTGGACGAGCGGGAGACGAAGCGAGCGAGCGTCGCATGCGCGATCAAGCAGCTGAGCACACGGGGCTTTCCAACACCCGCCAGGGCCCGATTACAAACAAAGATCTTTCCCACATGGGAAGAACTTGCATTGCCGAACCTTCAGTCCCATGGTCCGAAAGATACGCGCAGCTTCCGCGGAGTCCCAGGGTACAGGAATAACAGAAAGACGCTTGTCGAGGTTCAGACACAACTCGGCGACCACGGTACTCTGCAGCATCTACGCGACCGACAATGGCAAGCAAGGGGAGGTACACGTCGCGAAAGGCACATCCAACGTCATCGGCAGAAGACAAGAGGCAAGCACGATGAACGGTAATCCAGTGGTCAAGCGCACGCATGACAAGGACAATCGCCAGGATGAACATAAACCCTGCAAGAGGACAACCTTTCGCACCTCTCTGAAGTGACCAGCGTGGAAACTCCATTCCTCAAAACGAGAGACCAACTTCGATATCGGAATACAGATGCACGACCGCCTGCACGGCGTGATTAGAGAACCCCTATCCCCTCGAGCATCTGGAAGATCCACTCATGGTTGAGGGAGGGGGGCGCCCCGGCAATGTCCAGGAACAGAGTTCCAGCATTGGGGCATCCACGCCAAACGCGCCACTCCAGGATCCAGGATTCCAAACCGACGACGTTGTCCAGAACATGTCGCCCACGGATGAACCCCCGAGCAGACCTTGAGTCCCATGCTGAGCTTGCTGCGGAAAGATACTCGCCCAGGCACGACGCATCGGTCTTGCTCATGGTAATTATCGTAGTCTCCTGAGGCTCAAGGATGCCCCCCCCCGTCGTCATTGGCAGATGTCTAAAACAACATAACAACAATACCACCGTTAAAGCCGGCAGTGGGTTTCTGGTAGCCAAGGAGAGCTTCGTAACCACGACGACGCAGAGACTGATGAGCACGATTGCTGCCAAACTTCCAGACACTATAGGGAACTCCGTCGGGACCAGGGGTCGAATCATGCTTGGCAGCCGCAACGCCAGTGAAGGTCCCAAAGACCGGTGCGAGATGGATCCCAGGAGCAAGAGGGGGAACATGCCGTTAAAGTGCTTCCAGAACCTGGGCGTGCAGAGCAGCGCCCGCAGTGGTCTGGTCATGCACTGAACCCCCGCGGCCGACGAGGTTCGCGACGGACTGTTCAATGGATATCGGGTCACAGCAACTAGTGTCACCAATAGCGAACTTGATAAGCTTCCGACGGCTGAGAGACCAAGCTTAATCAATTGGATGAACTTGGACGCTTGCGGGCCCGTCGCGTTGCCATCTCAGGGCAGGCAACACATCTGTCGACAAGATTGCTCTTATTGTTCTCCTTCCTTTTCTTGCCACGAGGACCCCAGCCTCCTCCCCGAGCGAGGCGGGCACGCGAATTCTTCGGACAAGACATCGGGCGTATCATGAAGCAAATCGTCTGGCATCTCATCAGGCAAGGCAACGAACGTGCCATCATGGAGGTCAAGGGTCAAGGGGCATAAGATCTGGGTCCGCTATGCCGCTCCCTCTCCGTGCTCATCAGTGTTCGGGCACAACGAGGCCAGCATTTTCGCAGCTCTGGAGCGGCACCGAGACGCAAGGAACCCATGGAACATGTCGTAATTGACGTGCGCCATTTGCTCCAAGTCATAACATTCACCCGAAATAGGCATCGCATCCATGCGCTGCCCCAGGATATCTCTCCGGCCAACACGGGCCGCGCGCATGAACTTCAGGAGAACGGCGATATCATGGGAAACGTTCTGCGGCCCGAACTTGAAAGACCGTTTTTTTGAGAATGCCTGTCATTGCGTACATCACGTCTTCACATATGCTATGGCCTGTTTGGACCGGGGCAACATCTAGTTCGTCCAACGTCTGGTCTAGGAAGACAGAAAAGTGATGGTGTCGGGCACACCACCGAGTGACACGGGGCGCGTGCGAAGTATTGTAGGCTATCTGCGCAAGCACAGGCACGTGTTCCGACGGGAAGGTGAGGTCGTGGGCATACCTGTTCACTCCACTACGCGCGTGCCAATCCAGAACTTCACCAGTCGGCGCATTCACATACTGACGGCTGAGCCGAGCACGGGAATGAAACTGAGGGGTGCCATCGACAATCCGCGCTGCACGATGTGTCGTCTCGATCTGCTCAATCTCAGCATACTGCTTGAAGAGAGCGGTAAACCGATCGAGCAAGGCAAAGTCATCGTCCGTGGTCGGGCTCCCCTCCACACAGTGACGCGTCTCACCCGGCTCGCGAAATTCCAGTCACCACCTGCGATACGGAAGGCGCGATGCTGCTGAGGAAGAGGCCGAGCTAGCATATGCAGTTCGAGCCTGGCTTCAGGTCGGGCATGTCCTCCTACAGGCGGATTTTGGACGCAAAGTAACAAATGTCAGAACATATTCCAACCTACTCAAAAACATAATTATAAAAACGTCCCCAGACTATTTACTGATTAATTTTGAATTTTTCCCCTGTAGAGGGACGGGCCCGAGTTAAGCCTGGCTTCAGGACGTCCCAGGTCGGGTTCAAGATGGATGTTCACAATAAGCCAGGCCTCGCCAGGACCGCTCTCATGTGAGACACCATACACCGCCCCCCTGGGATGACATCAGCACGGATACAGAGTTGAAGGATCGAAGAAAAAGATCTGGCAACGCTGATCACCCTCCCCCCTTGCACGGCTATCAGAACAAAAGGAACCGGCATGGACACCTAAAGTGCTGAAATCGGCCATGGACCTATGAGCTTCCTGCAAGAGGACTGCATGAAGAGACGACGGGCGCACGCATGCTTCTTGCACTGACGGGTGTGATCATCCCACGCACTTCCAACGAGAGCCGCTGAATTCCAGCTTGCACGGCTTGAATTGCCCGAGACGTGCCAAGGCTGGAGCAACATTCGGGAGTCAGACGAAAGCAGACGAGGAGGAGAAGGAGGAGGAGGGGGAAGAGATAGAAGCAAGCGAATCTCGAGGAGTCTCCGACATCTACATCAAGCTTCGTGATGCCACTTACGGCTCTGAGAGGGTGGTCAGCCGCCAACGAAAAGGTGATGCGCTTAGCGGCGAGCTGCACTAACCCGCACATTGGCACTGGCCCTGACCTGCACCCTCCCAGGCACGCAACCCCAACGAGGGGCAGCCGAAAGGCACGATGCCCCTGGCTGGGAAGAGGAGGAGGAGGAGGAGGAGGAGGAGGAGGAGGAGGAGGAGCAGGAGGAGGAGGAGAGGAGGAGGAGGAGGAGGAGGAGGAGGAGGAGGAGGAGGAGGAGGAGAGGAGGAGGAGGAGAGGAGGAGGAGGAGGAGGAGAGGAGAGAGAGAGAGAGAGAGAGGAAGGAGGGAGGGAGGGAGGGAGCAAGGCGCGAGAGGGCGCCCGGCGGGTCCTCGTTGCCGCCGGAGCCCGCGGCGTCCCCCGACTCCGACGGCGCGGCGGACGACCGCCGCGGCGCCGCCTCGGCGGTCGCCGCCGTCGGCGCTGGGCCGCCGTCGCCGCCGTCGCCGCCAGAGCCGTTCGGAGGACGGCCACCGCGGCGCAGTGCGCTGGGCAGGCCTCGGTGCTCTGGCGAGGGCCGCTGGCGCACAGGCGCCTCCAGTGGGGGGCTGGCTCGCTCGGCTGCGGGGCAGGGCACTCCGCGCGGGCAGTTTCAGCCAGGGCCCGCTCCCGCTGCTGGCGCGGCCCCCGCTGCTGGCGCGGCCCCCGCGGCTGGCGGTGCGCCGGGCGGCGCGCAGAGGGGGGTCGGGGGAGGGAGGAAGGCACCTCAGAAGGAGGCTGCTTCTTCGAAGGCGCCGGCCTTTACATATGATGGGGCCCGCGCCTTCTACGAGGCCAGGATGCTTCTGAGAAGCCTTCCCCCTCCCCCCGATCCCCCCCTTTGCACGTGGCCGAGACCCGGACGGGGACGCACGGATGAAAGCTATGACCGCGTGGAGGCGTGCGAGCTCAGAGGCTTCTTGTTTCGCCGTGCCCTCGCCGCGCACAACGGGGAGGCGGCCATCTCCGGTGGCGACGCTGCCTTCGACGCTGCGGTCTGTGGGATCTTGCCGGGTGCTCTCAGAAGGGGCCCCCTGGAGCCGTAAGGGGGCCCCGCCAGGGGCGCTCGAAAGAGGCCCGTGGGGGCCTCCCCGGAAGTCCAGGGGGCGCCCCGGGCCCGGGACCCTCCTCCTCCTCCTCCTCCTCCTCCTCCTCCTCCTCCTCCTCCTCCTCCTCCTCCTCCTCCTCCTCCTCCTCCTCCTCCTCCTCCTCTCTGGCAGCAGCCGGTCCTGGGGCCTGCGATCGGGCCCCGGGGAGGGGCCCTCAGGAGCGGATCCAGGGCGAGATGCTGGCCCCCCTGCGGGCGGGAGGGGGCCAGAGCCTCTGAGGCCGCGCAGATTTCAAGCGTCGCTTGTGGGCGGAGCGTTTGTTTCTGCGCCCTTCGAGGAGCTCCTCGGGAGGCGTCGGAGGTGCCAGCGGAGCGGATCGCGGCGGCCCTGCAGTGGCAGACGGCAGCAACAATAACGTTTTACAACAACTGTCATTGCACAGGCCTTGCAAGCGTGCTGCAGCGGACTTCTGCGTGGATTTCTGCGTGCATTTTGATTTGCGCCTGGTTCGGTGCTAGCTTGCCCGAAACGGCGAGCGAAAAACGGCGTGAATTTCGCGTATATCATTTTTGGTCTTTATTCCTAGCCAAGAAAAAGCCGCACGAAACTCACCTCGAAATCCGGAGCGAAATTCTCCAGGACACTCCGGGCCCACCCGATCGTTTCCCGAGCGAACTCCGCTCTGCGATGTTGGCGCCATGACAACCGAGCAGCCAGGAAGAGCCAACGGGCAGCGCGCAGCAGAGGGGCGGCCGCAAGGCAAGCGGCAGCGAGCAGCAGCAAGCAGCGGCCACCAGGCGCAGCCGGGCGGGCAGGAGGAAGATGGGGAAGTGCTGGGATGACCGAGAGGGTGGATAGGGGGGTTAGAAGTGGACGCCGAGGTGGGTTATATCGGGCCCAACCTGGCTATGCAAGTGGGTTACAAGTGCCCCGAGTGGCCTGGCATCCACTTGTAGCCCCCCTGGCCACTTGGAACCCCCCACGGTCATCCCAGTGGAGGGCCGGAGGCGAAGGCGGAGAGAGCAAAAGCAAGAGCGGGGCGGCAACGGTGGAGGAGGGGGGTGCCCGCCGGTCGGAAGAAGCTGGCAGAGCCACGCAGTCGGAAGGCGTCGCAAGCAGGTTGGGTTTCCGCCCGCCCCCTATTTACCAGCCTCGAACTTATCCCTATCCCTAAGATTGGCACGCCAAAAGGCGATGACAATCTTAGGGATTCGCCCTCCAAAAATAAGGGAATCCCTAAGATTGGCATCGTGATGAGGAGGTGCCCAGCATAGGGATAGGGATCTGTTCCAGGCTGGTAACCTATGAAGAGGAGGGCAGGGGGAAGACCACTCGACTCTTGAAGTGGGAAGGCGGCTAAAGTAGATTGGGATCCGGGAATCCAGAGATGCCGACTTTCCACGACCAGCGTGCAGGGGGGGAAGAGCAGGAGAAAGGATACGAAGAAGGGGCACGAGGAAGAGGAGACTGAGAGATGCCCCGGTCCCTGGGAGGGGCGCCACGAGCGACCGAGAAGAAACAGGTCGCCGGATGGTGCGCACGACCTGCGCGCCGGCACCTTCGCACGAATGCTATGTTCTCTTGTGGTTGGCTTGGGCTGAAGGCTACTGGCATCGTGGGTTCAAGAGGCGGCTTCAGCTCTGGATGCCCATGGAGCCTGCAGACCTACGATGAGGAGCCTTTCAATACGGTCGGGCTCGATTGGACAGGACACGCGAGAGGACACAAGACCCTTCCGAGGGCCACCTTGCCGCAGGAATGCGGGACGCATGGGTCGCGAGACGCAGGTCACGAGGGCACCCTTGACCTGGCAGGGTCGACCTGCTATAATCTGGGCCGGCTGCAGCCCGGCGACACGCTGTGCCTTGCAGGCGGCCGGCGCCTCGCCCCGCTCCGTGTGGCGGGGAGCTGCGGAGGACCCGGGCTGGGCAGCGCGTATCGGGCCAGGCGAAAGGGGGATAGCAAAGGGGGGGGGGTGAGAATCGGCTCACGTAGCTGATGTTCCCGGCGCTTCCCAGCGCCGGGAGGCGCCGGTACAGGGCTGCTTTTGATGCATAGGATTTTGAAACATATAGGACTTGTAATGCATGAGTAGTTCAGGAATGAACTTATGCATGAACCCATCGTTGTTTTCAATGATTGAGTCCCTGCCTGCATTTTTGAGACAGGATCCGCACGCGGAGCATGTGTCAGAAACGGCACCGTAGCGCCTGGCGCCGAGGCACGGTGGGCCAGGAGCGGCAGAGCGACGCGCCGAGCCAGAGGACGCGACTGGAGCCCGGGGCGCGGGCGCGGGCGGTCCTCGGGGCGAAGGGGCCCGGCCGCGGCGGCGAGAGAGCCCTAAAAGGAGGCCCAGGACGGCGAGAGAGAGCGCAGGACCCAAAACTCGACCCCCGATGCCGGCGGCTTCTCCGGAAGCGCCACGGGCGTGTTGGCGTTCCCGGAGGAGAGGACGGCACCTCAGAACGTGGGCGTCGGGGGGGCGGCATGGTGATCTCCGAAGGCATGCAGAGTCGCAGCGAGCAGGGCAGGAGAACGGGCTGTTGGGCCTCGCGCCCGATCCCGGACCCGCAAACGCAGCAGCCACAGGGCCCCAAGCGGACAACCAATGTCGATCTTGACAGCGGGAAGGGAACGCCCTCAGCATCATCATTAACATTGAGGCCCTCCATCCTCCTATCTTCTCGGCGGATAACACATGCAGATCTTGACAATGGGAAGGGAACGCCCTCAGCATTGTTAATCACATTGAGACCCTCCTCCTCCATCCTCGGGTCGCCTGGCCGCGGCTCAGCTGCTGCACCAGCACCAGAAGCTCCTGCACGGAGGTCACCCTGACGGCGTGAGGCTTGGTCGCCATGTTGAACACGCTGGCCGCGTCGGCCGGCGAGAGGCCGACGTTGAAGAACGCACGCTTCACCTCATCGATGCCCAGCTCCTCGTCCGGATTCCTGACCTGAAAAGATCTGGGATCGAGAACTGGTCCCTGGGAAGTCGTTGGGATCTCTAGGGCCCAATGGCCCCGGAAAAAAAAACGGCGCGGGAGGTATAGGTGCAACCGAATGTGCCTAAACAGCCCAGCGCGGCACGCCACTTTTGACAGCCCGCCTGTCCTCAGAAAGCATGCTTGTACCTCTCACTAGTCTTTTGTTTGTTTTTTTGTTTGTTGTTTCTCTCTTCTTAGTTGTTATGGTTTCTATATATATATATATATTTTCTCTCTCTCTCTCTCTCTCTCTCTCTCTCCTAGAAACTTACCCTGCAGACCTCCCCACGGGTGCGTGTTGGCAAGAAACCCAGAGGGAGTCCGGCCGTTGCGAAGCGAGGACTCCTGGAGGATCGTCAGAGGCTGGATGCACGTCCACAAACCTCGATGCCGGAACCTCGACCCTCCCTCCCCAGACATGCGACGCCCTGATTTTTCCAAGTACGGCGCCGCCAGAACTCCCGACCCTCTCCCTGGGGCGGGCTCTTTCATCCCGAGTAGTTTTTGACGCTCCCGAGGCCCGGCGAGGGCCCCCCCGAGGCCGCAAGCTAGCAAGAACCTCCCGTCCGCTGCTTATTCTTATGATTATCCTTATTATCATTATTATCATCATTATCATTAGTATCATTATTATCATTATTGTTATTCTTATCGTTGTTATTACTATTCTTACTAATTGCGACGCGAACATGTCTGCGTCTCACTCTCCCCCATCTGCCTCTCTCTGATTTCCCGGCCTGCAGCGCCGCGAGCAGCTTCCTGCCCCTCTCCTCCGCCAGCCTGCCGCGGAGGTGGGAGACCTCCCTCTTGTTGACCCTGCCCTCCACGGAGCTGCTGCGGCCCCGTGGCGTCGGGAGGGACTCGGAGAACATCCCGTCCTCGAATTACGCTGTTCACATCGTACTGATAAGGACCACATCTCAGAAATAAGATCGAGCACCCAGCAAATTATCGAAACAGTGTCGAGCCGAGTGTCGCCTCCCGGGGCCCGACACGCGAAAACCCTCCAGTTTCGGTACTTTCGTGGAGCTCGAACTTCTTTCTGGTGGTCAAGGCTAAAATAGGTTTGAACATGATAATCCTCGAACTGGTCCAGGCCAACTGACCCATCGCCCCGGGTGTCCATCAGCCGGAAGAGGCTCCTCGCGTCATCCTCGTGGATGCCGAAACCGTCCAGCCACCTTCTTGGGCAACTCAGGGGAGTCTCCCATACCATCTTGTTGGCTCTTGCGAGTCGTTGTTAATCGACGCCAAATCGACGCTGAGTCGACGCTAACCGACGCCAAACCGACGCGCTCTCTTCGACTGCCAGACGCTAAGCGGCGCTAGTGCACTCCCACGGCGGAGTTGCGAGGATATAGACACAAGGCTCCCATGACTTGCTGCCGACAGCCACCTGCTCCACGCCTCGACGCTGACGGCGCCGTTCACGCCCAGGCTGCTCCGGAAGGCCAGGACCGGGTCCGTGCCGCCGGCGCCCCTGCGGCGCAGGAGGTGCCGCAGCTGCCTCAGCGTCTCCACTGGCCTCGCGCGCCGGGCGGCCTCGACCAGGTCCAGCAGTGAGCAGCTCCCCGTCTCCGCCTCGTCCACGGCCGCGAAGAGCTCCCTGCAGGCCTTGAGGCCGAGGTCCGCGCCCCTCTTGAGCGCGCCGGCGAACTCGGCGCACGTCATCTTCACGTGCGGCTCGACGCCGGTGGCCTCGAGCAGAGCGAGGGCCGACTGGGAGGACTGGAAGGCGGCGCTGCTGCCGAGCTTGCGCAGGCGCGCGAGGCCTCTCTGCCGCGTGGAGTCGATCACCTGTGCGGCATGGGGCGAGAGCAGGGAGCGGGTCCCGAAGGCCACGGGTCCTGGACCACATGCGTATATGCCTTCTCCCATGACCGGCTCTTCGTCCGGACGTCGCTGTTCGGCGGGGCCGGGGCCGGGGCCCGGGGAGGGCCCCATGGGGCCGGAGCGTGGCGGAGAGCCTCGGGACCCGCTGCCCTCAGGAGGGAGCCGCTTCCTGCATGGCGACGCCTGCGGCATCGGCACGGTGACGGCCTGGCCGGCTGCGGCGGCCAGCTGGGTGACCGCGAAGGCCACGCGCGCGTCGGCCTTCTCCGCGTGGGTCGGGGAGTCCAGCTCCAGGCCGCTGGGCTGGCCCTGCAGGCTCGAGCCCGGGCCCCCCCCCCTCGGGGAGCCGGGCCCCGGCGGGCGCTCGAGCGCGGCGCTGAGCTGGCTCAGGAAGGGCAGGCGCCCATCCTGTGTGGACCGGGCACCAAGCGACACCACCCGACCCACGGCCCCAGGGGGCTTCATACTAGCGCATGCCAGGGGATCTGGCGCGGGCTTGTGCGTGGTAGACGCTACGGCGCCCGATGGGCCGTAGCGCAACATGGAGGGCCGTGGGTGGGGTGGCGCCGTTTGTTCCCAGACATGCGACGTCCTGATTTTTTCAGGACGGCGTCCCTGGAAGTCCCGACCCTTTCCCCGGGACCGGCTTTTTGTCTTGAGTCGTTTTTGACGGTCCCGAGGCCTGGCGAGGGCCTCCCGAGGGCGAAAATAGCCAAAAACCTCCCGTCCTGATTTTTTTACGATGCGATCATGTCTGGGTCGGACGGGTCCTGAGGGAAACGGAACCTGGCCTCTGGGGCTTCCCCCTTGACCACTTCATCCCGAATCGTTTTCTGACGGTCCCCAGGCCCGTGGAGGGCCCCGGGAGCCGAAAAGGGCGAATGGCCTCGGATCCCGTTTCCCTCCCCAGACATGCGACGTCCTGCTTTTTTCAGTGCGGCGTCCCGGAAGTCCCGACCCAGGGCCGGTTTTTCATCCTGAATCGTTTTTTGACGCTCCTGGGGGCCGGCGAGGGCCCCCAGAGGTCGAAAAACGCGAAAAGCTTGCCGTCCTGATCTTTTGTTATGCAACGCGATCGTGTCTGGGCCATGCAGGACCCAATTTCCCCCACGGCGAATCCTGCGCCCGCACCGCGGCGGCCAGCCGGTCGTGGGCCTTGCCTGGGGGGGGCGCCAGCCAGGCACACTGGCGCCAGGGGCGGGCACGTCCCGGGCCCAGGACCGGCGCATGTGCTGGGACGGCCGCGGGGGGGGGGGGGGCGTTGCGAGCGGGTGCGAAGCTGGCCCTATCTTCCTGGGCGGGAGAAGTACTGCCCATCGGTCGGAAGAGGTAGGCCGAATCACGGAGTAGGGAGGCGTTGACAGTAGCTTGGGCTCCGTCCGCCCCCTATATAAAAAGGAGGGGAAGGGTGAAAGCCACTCGATCATTGAAATAGGAAGGCAATTGAGGTAGATTGGAATCTGGGAATCCCAGCCGACCTACTTTCAACGACTGATGGCTATCCGTATCCGCGGCCTCGCGGGCCGGGCCTCTGGGCCTCGGCCCAGCAGATACGGGGCGTCTGCGTCGTGGATGCCCCGCGCGGAACGTATCCGTGCGACCGCGTGCCAATGGGGTCGCACCCCGGAATGCAGACCACGAGGGCGCGGATACGGATGCTTATGTGCGCCGCTCGTGATAATTATCTGGCCCAGCCTGGCCTATGAGCGGGCTACGCATGCCCTCAGCGGCTTACGGGGGTTCGGGACCTGGGCGAAGTGGGCCCCACCGACTTGGCGGAGTCCCCCCCCCCTATACCCTATGAGCCACTCAAGGGCTTTTGTGCCCCACTTGGGAAACAGGTTGGGCCAGGAACCCTTCTCGTTGGGGAGGGGCTCGGTGTTCCTTGCTTGTTCTGCAGTGTACCCTCGGTTCTCCTGAGGTTTCCCATGGGAAGTCGAAGTTCAAGATTTGGGAGAAAGGGGCCTCGTTCCTTATTTAGGGTTCCTTAGGTCAACGCCCCGACTATAACCACCTTGGCAGCCGCTTCTTGTCCCCCTCTCCCCTAGCAACCCTCGCGGGCACCCCGGTGCGCCCTCCTGGTCTGGCCAGGAGGGCACGCACGCCCAGCTCCTGGGCCAGGGATCGGCCAGGCCGTGACCCGTGTGGGTGTCGCACATCCTCCGATCTGAGTTTCCCCATCCGCGGCCCCAGACCTCCTCCTCCTCCTCCTCCTCCTGCTCCTCCTTCTCCTCCTGCTCCTCCTCCTCCTCCTCCTCCTCCTCCTCCTCGTCCTCCTCTCCTCCTCCTCCTCCTGCTCCTCCTGCTCCTCCTCCTCCTCCTCCTCCTCCTCCTCCTCCTCCTCCTCCTCGTCTCCTTCCCCAAGGGTAGTTGCGCATCCAGGATCCGTGTTTCGCGTCCCCGGGGCCCGAGAACGGGCCCCGGGGGTCGGAGTCGAGGGAGTGCGCGCGGAGCGGCAGAACCCACACCGCCGGAGATCTACAGGGCGTGTGCGGTTGGCGCCCTCCGGGCTGCCGACGCCCCCGAGGATGCGCAGGAGGACGTCCTCCAGCATGACGGTGGAGGTGTGGGCCTGCGGGTAGGTCACCCGGACGAGGCGCTCCGCGCCCCGCCTCGTGAGCGCGAGGTCGCGCAGCGCGTCCGCCAGCCGCGCGGGGTCCAGCGCCCTCTCCAAGTCCGCCACCGCGCCTGCAGCGGTCGGCGCGCGCTGGGCCCTCCTGCTGGGATGATTGTGGGAGTTTCGAGATGGACAGGGGAGAAACCCCCACGGTCATCCCAGTGCCTTCTGCGAGACAATGCTGAACGGGCGAAGAACGGTGTAGCATAAACTTTTCCCCTGTCGGGGGCGCCTGTCCAAGGGCGGCTGGAAAGTGTATACCCTGACGGGTGGCATCGTGAGGGTATAGGCTTTCCGGCCGCCCCCGACGGCGGAGCAGTTTGTATCTTTCATACCCTTCTTCGCCCGCTGAACTAATGAGTGCCCACCGACGCATCGAGCCAAAGATCCGTCGCGATTTGTTCATGGCCCGAAGGGGTCTGGCATGTTGGCCTGCCAAGCAGAAGCTGGCCCCCCAACGCACGAAGCCTGGGGAACGGGGGGGCCATGGCGTCTCCGCCCCCCCCCCCCCCGGCGCCCTCCGCCCCTCCGTCCCCCCCCCCGCTCGCCCGAGCGCGGTGGCGGCATCGCGCGGCAGCGCACTTGGATAGCTCTCGTCGATCTCCCGGAAGACCTCGACGGGGTCCCTGCTGATGGGCCTGCTTTCCACCACCACCATAAGCTGGAGGGGGGAAGGAGGAAGAGGACGAGGAGGAGGACGACGAAGAGGAGGACGAGGAGGAGGTGGACGAGGAGGAGGAGGAGGACGACGACGAGGAGGAGGAGGACGAGGAGGAGGAGGACAACGAAAAGGAGGAGGACCCACTCCCCCTCCAACTTATGATGGTGGTGGTGGAAAACAGGCCCACCACCTGCGGTTCCGGATGATCCTCTTGCGGACGAGCATGATCGTGTCGATGCCCTCCGCCAGACGCAGGGAGTTCGAGAACGCGTCGAGGGAGAAGCGCGCGTCTTCCGCCTCCGTCAGCTCGCCGTCGTACTCTGCAATCTGGTGGAAGAGCTGGCTCGCATCCTTCAGCGTGCCCCCGATGGAAATGCACAGGTGGGCGAACTGGCGGGTGTTCAATGCGCGGAGGCCGTCGGCATCGTGGGCGAGGAAGGCCGCCTGGTAGCTGCCGTACTTGCTCGTCAACCTCTTCCTCAAGTTTTCGAGTGAAGTGACCGGCTCGGTGCTCCTGGGGACACCACCAACCAGTGCTCCCCGGACCTCTCCTTGGGTGCGTTCTGGCCAGAGTTTCGAGGTGAAGCCAGCGGTGGCGACGAGGGCCTCCCAGGAGGCCCAGCAAGGGGAAACAAGGGAAGGGTAGCGGTATGGGCACCTTTTCCTCCTCTGAGCTCCGCAGCAGAGCCATGAAATCATGCCGGGTCAGCTCGCGAATGACGCTCAGGTGCACGCCGCGCAGGTGCAGCGCATACCGAACGACGGCGTCCGCGGCCTCGTGCCGAAAGCCGAGCTGCACGAGCGCCCTCGCCAGGCGCGGCTTCTGCAGCCGCTGGCGGTTGCCCCCGCCGTGGGTCAGGGCCTTTGAAGGGGCCCTGGGACACACAAATAAATACACACAACTAAAAAGATTCCCTATATTTTCCCATATGTCCTGGGTTTTTGTCTCCCCCCCACACATCCCATATTTTCGCACATTTTCCTGGGGATGGACGATTCGTTGTGTCTGTGTGTTTTTTCCCCTCCTGAGCCTTCCAGGCGTCCCCGTACGAGCCGTGCTCCAGCAGCAGGGCCTGCCGGACCTCCTGGACCAGCGCGCGGGCGCGGGCCGCCTCCAGGTGCTGCAGCCCGTGCCACGCCTCCGCGGGGGCCTGGATCGGGGGGGCGGACGGGCAAAGTGGCATAGCCAGGCGACGAGCCCAGGGGGGAAATGAGAAGGAGAAGGCCTTCTCAGAAGGCCGCGGGACTTCTTAGAAGTCCGGGGGACTTCTGAGAGGTCTCCTTAGCCTATTTCGAATACAGACTGAACTTCTCAGAAGCCCTCTCAGAAGTCCGGAAACTTCTCAGAAGCCTCGGAAGTCCCGCCCCTTCTCATTTCCCCCCCGCGCCCGCCGCCGAAAGCAAAGGGGTAGGGTATAGAGAATCAGGTCACGTGCCTGGCTTTCTTGGCACCTTCTGGCGCCGGGAGGCGCCCACGCACCGAGGACTGGGCACGGCGGCGGGGAGGAAACCAGCTGCATGCAGCAGCTTTCGTGACCCCCCCCTTTCCCGATCCTATCCTTTCGGCCGCCCAGACTAGTAGTAGAGATACCAGTGCCGCCACTCCACGGACCTCCTCTGAGGTGCGCTCTCTGGCGAGAATCCCGATGCGAATCGAGGGGAGGGCCTTCCAGGAGGCCCCCCCGAGGCGGAAACGAGGGGATGAGCATTGTTCAACCGATCCCTATCCCCACTGGCGTGGCCTGGGCCCCACTGGCCGAGTTTTCCCCCCGAGATGGGGGTATGGGCGGCTCCCTTCGGGCTTCGAGGGGATCGGCATGGGGACGGGCATGGGGGCGGGCATCGGCGAAACTCGACACGGCGGGGAGGGGCACCGGCATCCCGCACCTCTTCCTGCTCCGAGCCTCGTCCTCGCTGGGCGGGGCGTGCTCTGCAGCGCCTGCCTCGCCGGGCTCCCCCGCCGGCGCCCGGGGCGCGGTCCGCGAGCCGGGGCGCCCGGGGCCCTCAGCCCGCGGCCCGCCGCAGGACTCCTTGCTGCCGCGCCCGGAGGGGGCCCGCGAGCTCGCCTTGGACGACCCCCGCACCTGCAGCAGGCGCTGCCGCTGGGCGATGTCCTGGCTGTCGTTGACGGCCATGTCGGACATGAAGGAGAACACGCCCTTTGTCTGGGAGGCGTATAAGACTCGGGTGCAGCGGGGGGCTCGGGCTGGCCTGCCGGGGGCCGTCATGAAAAAAGGACGAGGCCCAATCTGAAACCTGACGCAGGCTCCCGCTGCAGGCATTCCACGAAGACTGGACCGTCCAGATCCATGACGCGCTCGTCAAAAAAACCTCGGCAGACCCGAGTTCCGGCTTACTCGAGTCTTACGCTTCCCCGACCTTGGTCCGGGCGTAGCTCGAGCCAGTGCCGAGCCTCTTGAACAGGGCGTCGACCTCGTGGCTGCGCCACGACCTGTTGATCAGGTCCCGCAGGTGCGCGGCAGGGGCGCTGCCCCGCTGCGCGCCCTGCTGGCTGGAGGTGGCCGGGGGGGGGGTCAGAGCTGGCAGAGTCCACGCGCAGAGTAAGGGGACGCGAGATAAGGACAAGGGACTGGTGCATTCCACGCGTGTTGGAAGCTGGGCGAGGGCTGGCAAATCAGTGGCTGCTACAACGGTCTTCCCGGAAGGAAAAACACAAATCCCACCAGCCCTCTGGGCTCAGGCGGACTATGGCGCTTCTTTTTCCAACCTCCTTCCTTTCCCTGCTCGGGAGGTTTACCTCCCCCCCCTCCCTGGGTCTGGACGGCGGGGGCCCCGATGTGTCAGAGCGTTCTTTTTTGCCCAAGATGGCTACAAGAGGGCCCCAAACCCCAAGATGGCCTCCAAGATGGCTCAAGATAGCTCTAGATGGCCCATGATAGCCTCCGACACGCATCCAAGAGGCCTCAAGACGGCCCCAGAGGGTTTCAAGTGCCCTCCGCACCCTCCGAGGAATCCCCCAACAAGCCAAACTCCTTCAAAAACCTAAGGAATCAATGTTGTTTGCCTTCTCGCTTTTTCGCCTCCGATGGGTTCTTGAAGCCTCAATATGGAAGACGGCCCAAGAGAGCCCCAAGAGGAGCCCAAGAGGGCCCTACGACGGCCCCAAGAGCGCCCAGGATCGCTCCAATCGCGGCCCGAGAGGGCCTCACGACGGCATTCTTGAGCCTCCGAGGGGGCGATCCGAATTGCCCCCCCCCCTCTGTCCGAATAGCGGGGGTCAAGACGGCCCCAAGAGGCCTCCCAGACCCCCCCAAAGAGCCCCAAGAGGGCTCCAAAGACCCTGCAATGACCCTGTAAAGACCCAGCAATGACCCTGCAAACACCCTGCAATATCCAACCTCCTTCCTCCTCTGCTTGGGAGGTGTACCTCCCCCCCTCCCTGGGCGTGACTCATAGCAGCGTACAAGATGGTCCAAGACGGCTTCAAGAGGGCCCTAGAAAGCCAAAGATGGCCTCCTCCTCGTTTTAAGTGTTTGCTCCTCCTCCTCCTCCTCCTCCTCCTCCTCCTCCTCATCCTCCTCCTCCTTCTCTTGCTACCCCCAAGATGGTCCCAGCAGCGGCAGCACCACCAGCAGGAGCACCACAGCAGCAGCACCAGAAGCAGCAGCAGCAGCACCAGCAACAGCAGCAACATCATCAACAGCAGCAGAACCAGCAGCAGCATCAGCAGCAGCACCAGCAGCAGCACCAACACCTGAGAAATATCGAAACGCACACGAGCTTAAGATATACATAGGTGCAAGGGTTAAGATCAAAGATGCCCATCGAGATGCGACTCTAATCTGCGCAACATTGGCGTCGGCTCGTAGATACAGCAACCTGCGCCAGAGACGCTTCCTACAGGGAACACCATGGCGCATCTTGCACTGATTTCTGTCTTCACCTTCACTGCGCGAAGCTATGTGCGGTCTTTGTTTTATGGCCCAGGGTACTGCCCACCCAGTTTTGACGTTTCCAAAACGGCTGTGCGACCACGTGCTTCCAGGAGTCCCTGATTAACCGACTCACCTGGTTATCGTTTCTAGATGGGCTGGTGGGGATACTTTTTTGGTTCGCGGCTCCAAGGCGGATGACAGGGAGCGAGCACGACGTCCGGGGCGCATGACGATGTAAATTGGCCACCGAGGCGAATGCACGTGCAGTGGACAAAATGACCCTCATGAAAACGCAAGCTGCGACAGCAGGAGACCGGCCCAGACATCCCGGCAGGTGGGGACGCAGGCGCGGCGACCGGCGGTGGAACGAGGGGGAGAAGTCGCCCTTTCGGCGCCAAACTCCAGCTGAACCACATGCGGTGAGGCCAGGAGGCGGGGGGGGGAAGAAGAGAGCGAAAGCGAGCAACTACCACAGGCTCACTGCGGCACCCCGAGGCTGGTGGGGATTTTTTGATCTGCGGCCCAAAGGACGGTTCCAGAGGGCGGGTCAATGCTGGTGGGGAGACTTCTTTTTTTTAACAGCCGCAGGCGGAAGCGCCAGCGGCAGGCGGTCACGGTCGGGCTGCGGCCGCGACTAGGGGGCGGGCGCGCGCGGGGCCGCGGTCAGGCGGCAGGCAGCAGCGACCCAGGGCGTCTGAGCCAAGGCGTGCAAATCCAGGGAGTCTGCAGGGCAGCCCCTGAAAGAAACATGCAACGGCGCATCCAGGGAGTCTGACCACAGGCACCGAGGAAGCAGAGCGCAGCCAAAATGGCGCGTAAGGCGTTCCCAACAGTTCGAGTACGAACGGGTAGGAACGGTCCCGCGCGAGACGTCAATCCAGGGAGTCTGACGGGTAGGCACAGACTGATCTGGTGGGGATACGCGAAGCGTCAAGAATTCCCGGAATCAAGCTCAGCGCACTAAATCGTAAACGGGCTGCTTCCCAGAAGAAAAAAACAATTTCCCAAAGCTCCGTTTTAGCAACTACGGGTTTGCCAGCCTTCGCGCGGCTTCTGAGCCTAGAATCAAGATGTCGACACTGTTCGAGCGGGGCGCGGCCAGCAAAGCGGCCAAGGATGGGCCGCAGGGGAAAGATGCAAGGGCGACATTGAAAAATAGCTCATCCTTACTATCCGTGTTGCAACTCCAGGACATTTGTCATGAAGAGGGGGATGAAGCCAAGTCCGCTCAAAATCGGCCCCCAGACCCCTGGGCCCACCTGGTGAATTCTTCTAACCCAAGGGCTGTTTTTCACAAGCAGCTCCCAGGGCCCGACAAACGGCCCCCGGAGGCAGAAACATACAAAAATCAGGAGGGGAAGAAACACACAGACACAATGAATCGGCGATTCCCAGAAAATATGGGAAAATATGGGAAGTGGGAGGGAAGACAGAAACCCAGAAAATATAGAAGAATATGGGGAATATGTTTATTTGTGTGTATTTATTTGTGTGTCCTGGGGCCCCTTCCAAAAAGCAATACCCAAAAACTTCCCCGAGCCCAGCGCCCCGAGCCTGCCCGCCCGTCCGGTGCCGGGCCACCTCGAGTACCCCCCCCGGCTGCACGTCGGAGTGACCCTCACCGGCAGGTTCGCGTCGCGCCGACCCCGGCGCTGGCTCCTGACGCCGCGGGGATCGTCCAACCTTGAGCGATCGGCCGTTCTCGAGACATCAGATCGTTCCACATCGACCGATCCTGGGTCGCCAGGGTCGGGGATCTGCTGACTCGCGGGTCAATCCAGACCCGGGTCGATCAGGCCTCGCAGGATCCTGCAAGATCCTGCAAGATCCTGCCAGACCCGGGTCAACGCGAAGGATCCTGCAAGATCCTGCACCCCAACCCGGGTCAGTGCGACCCTGGCCCTGCAGGATCCTGCAGGATCGGGCGCTCTGGCTGACCCCCGCCCGCCTCGACACCCGTCCCGAGGCTCCCGACTCGGGGGCGTTCCCCCTTGAACGCTGGCGGCGGGGTCCCCGCCCGTCGACGCGACGCGAACCTGCTCCTCCTCATCTCCTCCTCCTCCTCCTCCTCCTCCTCCTCCTCCTCCCCTCCTCCTCCTCCTCCTCCTCCTCCTCCTCCTCCTCCTCCTCCTCCTCCTCTTCCTCCTCCTCCTCCTCCTCCTCCTCCTCCTCCTGCTGCTCCTCCTTGCTGTGGGCAGGAGTGACCCCTGGGAGATGCGCGGCGCTCGGGGAGGCCGCGGGGGGAGACCGCACGCGGAGCCCCAAAGGCCGCTGCGACTGCATCGCCTGCTCAGCACCACATGGGAGCCCCCGTGCGCCCGCCCCAATCGGGTCGGGCGAAAGGGGGGCATAGCAAAGGGGAGGGTTGAGAATCAGCTCACGTAAACGCTGATTGCCGCCTCGGCGCCTCCCGGCGCCGGAGGCGGCAATGCATCGAGGAATGGGCCCCTCGGTGAGGCCGAAACCAGCTGCATGCAGCAAATTCCGTAACCCCCCCTTTTCCCAATTCCCCCATTTCGTCCGGCCCGCACCAAGACCCAGACATGATCCCGTCGTGAAAAAAATCAGGACGGGAGGGTTTGGGCTATTCTCGGCCTCGGGGAGTCCTCGCCGGGCCTCGGGACCGTCGAAAACCAGCTGAGGATGAAAAACCCATCCCGGGGAAAGGGTCGGGACTTCCTGGGACGCCGTCCTGGCAAAAATCAGGACGTCGCATGTCCGGGGAATTACTCGAGGCGAAACATCCCCCCACTCCTGCGTATATCGGGGGTGGACAAACCTCCCTTTAGTAAACCCCCAAGACCGAAACCGACGGAGCTGGACCCGCAAAAATGACGGCCGCGACGCCTTCTCGCGAACCGAAAATGGCCAATTCGCTCCCCGACGGTGCCACGGCAGGATGTCTCTCTCAACCTCCGACTACCTGGCCATCGCTCGGACGTCCATTCCCTGTGCTTTTTTCGGTTTCGTGTGTGGTTCTTTCGCCAAATGATCAAGCATGCTCTTCAATGGTCCTCGCCGAAGGAAAAAAACGCACGTCCGAGCGATGCCAAGATTCGGCTAGCCGTAAGAGTGACCCTGGGTAAGAGTGACCTTTGGTGCGCAGCTTTTGGGGGCGCGAGGGAGCCAAACCCAAGGGCGCGGGCCGCTATCATCGCTTCGCGCTCGGCGATCGGGGGGAACCCGATGAGCCCGCACCAAAGGTCACTCCAGCGAAAGGCCACTCTTACATGTAGTCTAAGATACGTGGCCGGCCCCCAGCCGGCTCCGGGCCTTCTGGAACCGCTGGTAGCCCAGGAGGCTGTCGTCCCTCGCCCCCCAGGCGGGCGCCGGCTCGCTCCTGCAGCCGTCGTCGGACGCGGACGCGGCGCCGCCGCGGCCGCGCCACCGGGGCCTCCCCCGCGGCTGCCTCCGCCTCCGCCTCGCGCTTCGCGGCGCCCGCTCCCCGTCCGAGGCCGCCAGGAAGGCCAGCGGCGGCGGCGCGCCCGAGCGCGAGGAGGCCTTCGAGGCTGCGCGCTTCGGGGACCGCGTGCGGAACTGGGCCGTGCTGTTCGGAGAACAAGGCAAGGACAGGAACATGAGCTTTCGGAGGTCCGCGCGGCTCTCCCGGAGCCGCGCTGGAGCCCCCCGGGCGGCGCCTCCGGCGCCGCCCCCGGCGCGCTCCGCGCGCTATAGGGAGGGGGGTCCAGCGGCGATCCGAGAAATCAGCGCGAACCTCCGAAAGCCGATGCTTCTGCCATTATCTGTTCCTCGAGCTGTGCTGCTGCTGCTCCCCGCCCGACAGCGCCCTCTTCGACACGGCCTCCGGCGACCAGCCGAGGGTTGTCGCCGCCTCCATGAGCTCTTCAAGGTTTCTGCCCGACCTGGGCAGCGAGCCGTCGCCGCCCGGCACGGCGAGCCGCCCGCGGGCCGTGCCCTCGTAGGAGAAGGATGTGGAGGCCACGCCCCACGCCCCAGGATCGTGTACGCCGCTGGCCGCCTCCAGGACCTGGCCGAGGGCCCGCATCGCCTCTTTGGGTAGCTCCGCGCCGCGCTTGACGTTATGGTACTCCTTGCGTATGCTGCCGCGGCGGTCCCAGAGGGTTCGGACCTGCACGTCATCCTCCGCCGGCGCCGCCGCCACGGCGCCGCGGCGGGCATTGCCGCCGCGGCCTACGGCCGCGAACTCCCTGTCCGCCTCGACAGCCTGGGCCTCCACGCCCTTCCACCGCTGCCTGAAGTACTCGAGGACCACGGGGTTCGACGGCGGCTCCTGCTGCGGGAGCTCCTCCTCCTCGAGGTCGCTGGCCTCGCCGTCCTCCTCGTGCCCCCGCCGCGCGGGCACCTCCGCCCGCTCCCCCGGGGCCTGTGAGACGGCGACCACCATGCTCGCCAGCTCCGCGACGGCGCCGGCCTGCAGCGCCTGCGCGGGCGGCCGGCGCGACCGCTGCACCCGCGCCGCGACCGCCGCCGCGGCGGCGTCGGCCCTGCTCGCGGAGCCCTTCGAGCCGGCCCTGCTCGCGGAGCCCGCCGCCTGCGGCGGGAGGGCGGCGGGCTCCTCGGGCGCTGCGGCGCCCAGGCTCCCCGCGGTGGCGATGCCGCCCTGCGGCGCCGCGCTGACGCCGCCCGACGGGCGAGGCGGCGCGCCGGGCGGCCGCTGCGCCGCGCCCGTCGGGGGCGGCGCCGCGCTGACGGCGATGGCGCCCTCCAAGTCCTGGGTGCTGTGCTGGCCTGGCGGCCGGCCGGGATGGAGACAGGCACGGCCCATGGGAGGCGCCACGGGCAGGCAAGGCAGGAGGGAGAATCCTGAGCAGCGCACTTCTCACTGCAGCCGTCTGGGCTCCAGTCTGGAGGACCGGCGACAGCCATGGTAGTGGTTCCAAAGCCTGTGGGAGCCACAGTATACCAGGCGACTCCGCGAAGCCCACGAGAAGAAGGGGGGGAGAAGGCACCTGACAGAGCTACGAGCCCCGACCTTTGAGCACATGGGGGCACACACACACACGCACACACACACACACACACGGGAGGCGTGGAAGGGGTAGGTGGAGAGGGGAAGAGCGGGAGGAGTGAGGCAGCAACAGGGAAGAGCGAGGAAGACGAACTGCAGTAGGAGACAGGCGGAAAGTGTCATGTTGGTTACCACGTTAAGTGTGTGTGTGTGCATGCTTGTGTGTGTGTGTGTTTGTGTGTGTGTGTGTCGTTGTTTCTGGGTAGTCGAAGCCATTCTGGCGCCAATATGGCGGGCCCAATCTCTGGCGAGGGAGCCACTGTGAATCCAGCCTGGCGAACAACAAACAAACCCAACCTGGTCGAGCCAAATTGGCCCCAGGAGCCCAATCCAATCTGCCAGTCTGGCCTTCGACTACCCAGTGTTTGTGTGTCTTCACTTAACGAGGAAGGCGTCCTGGGGCCTTGGAGGCCCTCTTGGGAGTTCCGGGGGGAGAAGAAACAATAGCAGTACCACACTGGTCCGAACAATTTGTGGACGGTCCCAGGGTCCAATGAGGGCCCCAAAATGCCGAATACGAATTACGGAAAACGTTCGTCCTGAATGTTTAAAACGACGCGAACACGTCTGGGCACGAAACGCCCGACTTCCTTAGACAAGCGCGTTCCACTACTCGCAAAGTAGCTGCTCGCAGATGGCCTGGATCCGCCGCAGGGGACCTCCTATACATATATATATATATATATATATATATATATATATATCCGCCGGCCCCCTTGTGGGGCCACCAGGCTGTAGGCACGTGATTCGCAGTTTCCTGTACCAGTTGTAGCTTGTAGTTTCCAGTGTTGCAGTTCTGCCTCTTGCTGGATACTGTAACTAGTTGATTGACCGCGCGAGGGGGGGGAGGCCCAAACGGGATTTTTAGCGTCTCCTGGGCGCGTTGTCTGAATTGCTGGGGGGGCTCGAAATCGACACACCTCACGCAGATCCGCGGGGTCAGGGTCCAAAAACACAGGGGATTTGCCACATTTCTGAAATTCGGTGCCACCCCTCACGCAGATCCGCGGGGTCAGGGTCCAAAAACACAGGGGATTTGCCACATTTCTGAAATTCGGTGCCACCCCTCACGCAGATCCGCGGGGTCAGGGTCCAAAAACACAGGGATTTGCCACATTTCTGAAATTCGGTGCCACCCCTCACGCAGATCCGCGGGGTCAGGGTCCAAAAACACAAGGGATTTGCCACATTTCTGAAATTCGGTGCCACCCCTCACGCAGATCCGCGGGGTCAGGGTCCAAAAACACAGGGGATTTGCCACATTTCTGAAATTCGGTGCCACCCCTCACGCAGATCCGCGGGGTCAGGGTCCAAAAACACAAGGGATTTGCCACATTTCTGAAATTCGGTGCCACCCCTCACGCAGATCCGCGGGGTCAGGGTCCAAAAACACATGGGATTTGCCACATTTCTGAAATTCGGTGCCACCCCTCACGCAGATCCGCGGGGTCAGGGTCCAAAAACACAGGGGATTTGCCACATTTCTGAAATTCGGTGCCACCCCTCACGCAGATCCGCGGGGTCAGGGTCCAAAAACACAGAGGATTTGCCACATTTCTGAAATCCGGTGCCACCCCTCACGCAGATCCGCGGGGTCAGGGTCCAAAACCACAGGGGATTTGCTACATTTCTGAAATTCGGTGCCACCCTTCACGCACATCCATCGCAAGGCGTGGTAACCCAAACTGCGAGAACTCCCTCGGCCCTTTAATCGCAAGGTGTGGTAACCAAGCCCGTAAACCATACACGTCTTACCAATCGCCAGGTGTGGTAACCCCTCTTGTGATCAGTTGGTTTTGCTGATTGCGAATCGGCTTCGCATGAAGTTTCGATACTGCTTCACGACAGCGCCAAGGCCTCATGACTTAGCTTTTCCATGGCCCATTCTCCGAGAGAGGGGGCCGGCGGCAGGGGGCGAAGCCCTTACGGAGATACATATATATATATACATATATACATATATACATATATATATATATATGGAGACACCCCCCAGCACTCCGTCCTCATAGTTTTTCTGGTATTCTTCATACATATCTCCCTGTATGTCTGTATCCAAGAGTTACAATTTGATTCTTGTACGAATTCAGTAGTACAGAGCAGTTTCCAGACCCAGGAGATATCAATTATATTTGAATGAGAATCAAATGAAGAATCAAGCGGACTGGAGCAGATCGCAATGCCAGAGGATTTTGATTTGAATTGAATATGAACCAAACAAGAATTCAATCGGACTGGAGCAGACTCCAGATCCTGAGGACTTCAATTGGATTCGATTAGATTCCAAATCGGAGTTTCAAAGAGATTGCCCAAACCCCAGTTCCAATGGATTTCAATTGGATTTCAATAAGAATCAAATAAGGATTCAATCGGACTGGAGCAGATCCCAGATCCAGAGGATTTTAATTGGAATTGAATAGGAACCAAGCAAGAATTCAATCGGACTGGAGCAGACTCCAGATCCAGAGGGTTTCAATTGGATTCAATTAGATTTCAAATAGAAATTGCAAAGAAATGGCCCAGACCCCAGTTCCGATAGATTTCACTTGGGGTTCAAGAAGAATCAAGTAAGCATTCAATCGGACTGGAGCAGATCCCAGTTCCAAAGGATTTTGATTAGAATTGAATAGGAACCAAACAAAAAATCAATCGGACTGGAGCAGGCTCCAGATCCAGAGGATTTCAATCGGATTCAATTACACTCCAAATAGGAGTTTCAAACATAAATGGCCCAGACCCGAGTTACAATGGATTTCAATTGAATTTCAATAAAAATCAAATAAGGATTCAATCGGACTGAAGCAGATCCCAAGTCCAAAAGACTGTGATTGGAATTGAATAGGAACCAAACGAGAATTCAATCGGACTGCAGCAGGCTCCAGATCCAGTGGGTTTCAATTGGATTTGATTCAAATCGTAACTTCAAGGAGATTGACCAGTTCCCAAGTCCAATGGATTCCAATTTGGTTCAGGAGGTCAAGAGTGCAGCTTTCCTTTATGAAAACACCATGTTTTTGCATCCAAAACCAATTCCCCATGTGAAAACGCAAGGCTTTTGCATCCAAAACCAATTTTCCATGTGAAAACACAATGTTTTGGCATTCGAAACAAATTTTACATGTGAGAACACAATGTTTTTGCATCCAGAATCAAGTTTCCTTATAAAAACACAATGTTTTTTCATTTAAAACCACTTTTTCCTTGTGCAAGCAAAATGTTGTTGCATCCGAAGCCAACTTTGCATGTGAAAACACAATGTTTTTGAGCTCGGGTATCACAAAACCTTGGCATTTTTTGTTATATATATATATATACACATATCTGTTTTGTTTATGATGTCACGAAACCCGGGCAGGTTTTTTTTTTTTTTGTCTTTTTTTTTGGCCCCACGAAAATTCCGGGCCGCCGCCAGCTCAGTCTGACTGGCCAAATTCCGCTTGGCCGAAAAAAACAAAAAAATACAAAAAAAGACAAAAAACCTGCCAGGGTTTCGTGACATCATAAACAAAAAAAAAACAAAAAAGACAAAGCCTGCCAAGGTTTCGTGATATCCGAGCTCAAAAACATTGTGTTTTCACATGCAAAGTTGGTTTTTGATATAAAAAACATTGTGTTTTCAAAGGGGAAACTGGTTTTGGATGCAAAAACATTGTGTTTTCATGCGTAAAGTTGTTTTTGGATGCAAAAACATTGTGTTTCCACAAAGAAAATTAATTGGTTTTGGATTTAAAAAACATTTTGTTTTCAAATGGAAAATTGGTTTCGGATGCAAAAACATTGTGTTCTCACAGGGAAAATTGGTTTGGGATGCAAAAATGTTGTGTTTTCATACGGCAAATTGGTTTTGGATGCAATTGTCGTCGTCGTCGTCGTCGTCGTCGTCGTCGTCGTCGTCGTCACCGTCGTCGTCGTCGTCGTCGTCGTCGTCGTCGTCGTCGTCGTCGTCGTCATCGTCGTGGTCATCATCATCATCATCACCATTATCATCATCATCATCATCATCACAATCACCGTCACCATCATCACCATAATCATCATAATCATTATTATCATCATCATCATCATCACCGTCATCACCGTCATCACCATCATCACCGTGATCACTACCATGATCATCATCGGTATCATCATCATCAGCAGCAGCATCATCATCATCGTCGTCATCATCATTATCATAATCGTACTCGTACTCGTAATCGTACTCATTATTACACCCAGCATAGATTATTGAGAGGGGGTAGCTTAGGAGGAGGAGTAGGAGGATAAGCCTGGAAAGGATGAGCGTGATGAGGGAGGATGTTCAATGCGAGAGTAAGGAAAGAAGCAATCACGGCCATTCAACACGGAGTGCTGGAGGGGGGTGTGGGCTAATATATATATATATATATATATATATATATATATATATAGTACACAAGGGCAGACGTATGGTTCTTGGGACGCTTGCGAGTAGGTCCTTTGCGAGTAGTGGGACGCGCTCGGCGATTCCTCCTCCCCCGTCAGGCTTGGTGAAGGGCAACGATAGGGGGGGATAGGCAAGGGGGGGGATGCATCGACCTGGTACATCGCGGATAGATCGGCGATAGGCTCCCGATCGTGAATCCGCGCCTCCCTGGGCGGGGTGGGGCTATCGGGCCCCTATCGGCGATCAATGGGTGATTGGGGATCGATGCATCCCCCCTATGCTTAAGTCGGGCGTGTCCCCCTACAGGGGGATTTTCGACGAAAAAGACAATACCCCAAAACTACCCCAAAAAGGTCTAACAATATTAAAAAAAATAGTCCCCAGACTATTTTTGGATTTGTTTTTGACTATTTTTGGGGTATTTTTTATTTTTCGTCGAAAATCCCCCTGTAGGGGGACAGGCCCGACCTAACCCTGTGCATATCCCCCCCCCTATCGTTGCCCCTGACTTGGGGGGCCGAGCCGACCGCGCCGCCTGGCCCCAGGCTGGTGCTGGCGCCGGCCCGCCCCGGGCGCAGCGACTCGCGCGGCTGCCCCACGTCGGGCCCCAGGATGGAGCTGGCGCTGGGCTGGCCTCGTGAGCATCGTGTATCCGACCCCTGTCTCCTCCTCCTCCTCCTCCCTCCTCCTCCTCCTCCTCCTCCCTCCTCCTCCTCACCTCCTCCTGCTCCTCCTCCTCCTCCTCCTCCTCCTCCTCCTCCTCCTCCTCCTCCTTCCTCTCCTCCTCCTCCTCCTCCTCCTCCTCCTCCTCCTCCTCCTCCTCCTCCTCCTCATTGGCGTGGCCTGGGCCCAACTGGCCGACTGGCCCCCCTAGATGGGGATACAGGCAGTGTCCTTCGGGTTTCGAGCGGCATATCCCCAACTAGTGTGCTGAGATGGTGGGGGTCTGGATATGGATGGGGATGGGGGTCGGTTGAACGATGCTGACCTCGGGCGTTGCTTCAGGGAGGGTGGGGGGGGGGGGGGCGATCCACGGAGGGGGAAGGAGCAAGACGCACCTGCCGCGCCCCTCTCGTGCCCCAAGGGGGCCCCCTCGCGGGCAGGAGGATGTCACCTGTCTTCCCTGCCCCCCTTTGCAAGCGCGCCCCTAATCGAATCGATAAGTCGGATCGGCGAGCATCGGATCGGCGGAAAGCAGCAGGCTGGCAGGCCTGCGTTGAGAAACCGGAGCCCGGCTCGGACGCCGGAGCCGAATCGGATCGGCATCGGAGGCCACCGAAATCGAGCCGAATCCAGTCGGATCGCACGGGAACCCGGAGTCAAGATCGAGCCGAATCGACTCCGAGGAACCGAGAGGATGCCGTGCGCTTGCCACCCATTGCACAGCACACCCGGCGGCCGAGGCGCAGCGACGGGCTGGGCGCCGCGGCGTGCCGCGGCAGCCCCGCGGCCCGGGGCGAGGCGGCCTCGGAGGGCGCTGCTGCGGTGGCCGCGAGTCCCTCGTTCCCCATCGCTATCCCTCGCTCCCTCCCTCTCGCTCTCTCTCTTCCTGCCTCGCTCTCCCTCTCTCTCTCTCCCTCTCCCCCTCTCTCTCTCTCTCCCTCCCTCTTCATCGCTCTCTCCATCACTCCCTCGCTCTCTCTCTCTCTCTCTCTCTCCCTCTGTCTCTGCATCGCTCCCTCGCTCCATCCCTCTCCCACTCTCCCTCTCCCTCATAATCCCTCGCGCTCGCTCTCTCTCTCTCTCTCTCTCGCTCTCTCTAGTCTCGGCTCGAGAGTGCTCTGCACTCAGACCGCAGCCACGACGCGAAGCGCCCCGCCTCGGAGTCAGACTCCCAGGCCTCGCGAGACCGGAGGGGTCCCAGCAGGACCCTACTGATTCGCGTCACCTCTCCGCACCGGAGTGCCCGCAGCAATGGCCCCCAAGAAGCCGGAGCGCCGTCGCTCTTCAAAGCAGCCTCCGAGCTCCCGCCCCACGCGCCCTGCTGCTGAAGGGCCCCTCCTTCAACGCAAGCAGGACTGCATCGCAGCGTTCAGGCAAGCGGGGTCTGACCGCCCCACGGCCGCCTATAACGGGCTAGCCGAACTGAACGCGGACGAGCTCCAGGCAAAGTACGACATGCACAAGTCCAACACGAAGAAGCTTGGCAGCGCCCTTATCCGCATGTGCGCCGCCAACCAGATCAGCTACACGCTCGACCACTACCAGCGCAGCAAGCCTAAGCGCACTGGCGGTGACACATCGCACCCACCATCGGGCTCCGCACGTCTTCAGGCTGCGGACACCCAATTCATTGCCTTGGACCCTGCCTTTTGGAAGGTCCCTGTTCTTGCCGAACCCACCTCGCCTGACGACGGCAAGACGTACAAGCCCAGCATCAGCCTCCACGACTTCGAGAGTGGCGAACGGCTGCTGCAACACCACCTCGGGCAGGGCAAGCGAGCCACGGGCCAGCTCGCGATTGCTGTCATGGGCCCGAAAAACGACAACTACGTCGGTACCGAGCTCGCCGTCCCCGTCCTGAAGCGCCACCCCAAGGCGCCCAAAGTGGTCCACACGCACGTCCCCGTGATCGTGTACCAGCTGGGCACCAAGGAGGTCGCCTGCACGGAAAAGGTAGCCGTCGCCACCATCGACCCCGCCGACCACGTCTGCTGGATTCGGGCGACCATACACGAGACCGAGGCCATTGCCGCAGTCCCCTCCATGCACCAGGCCTTCGAGGACCAGTTCTCGGGAGGTGCCCCCGTGAACGGTGGTCCACGCGCCAAGGGCCCTTTTCGAGGCGACTCCGCTCCACAGGACAAGGCGCGCCAAAAGCACAAGGAGTCCAAGAAAGACGCTCGCCGCCAGGAGCTCGATGGCCAGCTCCAGGACACCTTCAAGGCCCTCTTCCACGGCAACTTTAAAGCCGTCACCATCCTCGAACCCTGCAAAAGCCTAGGCAGGTTTGGATCGGGCGTCGGAAAGAGGTCCCTGGCTGCCACCTTCGGCGTCAGTCTCCAAGCGGTCGACAAGGTCCTGGCGGGATCAGGGCAACTCGGTGCCACCTACGACTTCAGCAACGTAGGTGCAGACGAGCCCACCGCCGACAAGTATCAGACCGTGTGGTTCCCTGAGGACCAGCCCATCACGATGGCAGACGCGTTCCAGAAGTCGGTGGCGCTCAAGGCCCTGGGAGTCGTCAGGCACGGCAAGTCAGGCCTGCTGGGGATCCGTGCTCCGCGGGGGTCTGACGTCGCCAAGGCCGCCGCTGTCAGCATCCGCGGCTGCGAGGCCACCCTCGCCAAGACGCGCTACCGCATTACTGGCATTGCGTCACGCCACGCCACGCTGACCCAGCTCGCCAAGACTCTCACGGGCCCGTCCGTCAAATGGGACTGTGAGGTCTACCACACCGCCTGGGACCCAGCCACTGCGGCCCAGTTTGCCCTAGTGCGCGCCCATCGGCCCCCACTCACCTATACGGTGCAGGTCGCGGGGTGCTCCATCCCGTGGAGCATCGCCGAGGCCCCGCTGGCTGAGGTGGCGCCGAAGCGGGACAACGTTACCATCGTCACGCCTACCACCATCACAGAGCCTGCGACGCCGCCAGCCGGTGGTGGCGGCTTCAGCCCCGCCACCGGCACACTCCTCACCAAAGCGGCCCAGAGCCCCTACCTCCACGACCTCATGACTGCCACGCCCAAAGGCAAGGGCGTCGCACCGCTCCTGACCCCCAAGGAGGAGCCTTTAGCCAAGCGCCACCGCTCCTCCAGCGGGAAACGTGACGCCACGCCGCCCGCAAGGCCACCCCGCGCCCCAGGCCGCAGCTCTTCTGCGCCCCCTCACGGCACGGACGGAGCCGCTGAACCGACGGCCGCCCCAGGACCAGGTGGCCACGACCCCTGGCTTGGCACGGCCGCGGCGGAAGGAGGGGGCCACACCGAAGGCGCCGCTGCCACAGCCGCCGAAGTACCAGGTGACGTCGTTGACGTCGAGATCCTCTCATCAGGCGATGAATACAGCGAGGCCTCCCACGAACTCAACACCTTCGGCGAGCGCTTCGCATCGGCCTCTAAACCGCCCGATGCTGCCACGACCCGCATCCAGCACATGGAACAGCAGCACGAGCTACTAGCCACCACGGTGGATAACATGCAGATGCAGCTTGCGGGCGTTCTCTCCTCCCAGGCCACACTCACGGAGCACGTTTCAGGGCTGGAACGGGGGCTTGCCACCGTCGTCACCCAGCAACAGACGGCAACCGCCGACGCCGCTGCACTGCGCGGCGACATCCAGACCCTCCTCGGGCACCTCACGGGAGGCACCATCCACCTGCCACAAGCGGCCACTCTGGAAGTTAAGAAGGAGGAAGCCGCAGCGGCCGCCGAGCCCGCGGCAGCCTGCAGTGCGACCGACCAGCCAGGCCAGGCCACCCCAGGGACGGGGCCCCCAGGGGCCGACAAAGGCAAGGACAAGGGTCGGGCCACCCAGGACCCGCATTGAAGGTGCCTCAGAGAGCCAGCCTCAGCCCTCCGAGGAAGCGCCTTCAGAGGCACCGCTCCCCTCTTCGCGTCGTATCTCTTTCTTGTTACCTCATGTCTGTTTTGGCAGCAGCACGCGCAAGCTCTCTGGTGTAGGGACACCCGTAGTCTTGCAGGGGGCGTGATTGTAGCGATGTACATGAGCATTCAGGGGTGTATGAGGACGTGTGCTGCCACGCAGCTTTCGGCTCATCGCTCGCGCCGCCCGCCAGGCCTCGCCATCATGCGGCGCCTCGCCTGCGGCCTGGCCCTCCCCTCGCTGGCTGGAGCACACCCGTCTTCAGGCGGTGCGCCCCAGCACGGAGGAGAGGCTTTCCTGCGACATGCGGAGCGTAGGACGTTCTTCTACCTTTACGATGACAGCATCTACAAATACGATCACAGCGCCATTTTGGACCCGATCGTGAACAGCACCGCCGCCGCTGGTCCGTGCGGCACCGGGCTGCTGGGCGCCCCCGCGAGCGCCTGGCCTGAGCAGCACCAGGGGCCCTGCCCCACGCGCTGCCCCCCTGGGACTTCGACGGCTACTACTATGCCTACGCCGAGTACCAGCACGTCTCCTACGAGCACGCCCTCGTCAACTACGACACATGCATCGCAGTCGACCGCCGATTTTGCCGCAGCTGAGCTGACTCCTGCGTCCTCCGGCCACGCCTCGCACCGCATGCAAGTTCAGCTACGAGGGCTACCATCACTCAATACGACGCCTGCGGTCGACCGTCGTACAGCATATCCTCGATGGCACCCTGTCTTCAGCTTGTCCACGACCGTCGTGCAGCATATCCTCGACAGGGCCGCTGGCAAGGCCCAGGCACGCAGTGGCGGCTTCAGCCCCGCTGCAGTGCCCTGGCTGCCACCGCCCCCGCATGAGGCAACGCACGCCGCGCACGACCACCTGCGAGAGTTACCACCGACCACGACGCCTGCCGCCGTACGTCGCACCGTGTACCCTCCAGAGTGTCGCACCCCCACAGCGTGCCGACCTGACAGCTTCGACATTACTGACAGCGGTGGGTCGTGCCACGCTGGAAACCACGCCGATGAGCCAGCGCCGCAGACGGCTCCACCGTGGCCCCCACAGACCACAGGCGCCTCGCTGCGAGCCATCTGGCTCCTCGTGCCCTACCTGTGCATCACCGTGGAGCCCAACACGCTATGTGGGCTGCTAATTATGGCCGTGCTTAGCACCCACGCACACGGCCTGACTACCAGCAACACAGAGAGTCCCGCTTCCCCTCTGTGCGCCAGGGGTGAACCTGATGAGGACCCCGCCTTCTGGCACCTGATGAACATCCGAGCACGGCTCATCCCGTGCGCCGCGGCGTGGGCACCAGGGGAGGACCATCAGGACGTTTACTGGGCATGGCTCGAGGACTGCGTCCCGCACGTCCTGGCGACGCTCCATCTGCCACAGTACGACCACCTTTTCCAGGAGGACTCCGCGGAGAAAAACGACGCCCTGCGCCACCGCACCGCGGTCGACATGTGCGAGGATATCTGGCACAGAGCGGGCCCCGACAGACAGCGCACCAACCGCAACCTCACTCGTATTCAGGGCAGCCACGAGTACCCCACCCGCTACCTTGGCCTCCTTCTGGAATACCAGGGCGCTCGTGCCCAGCTCGTCGGCCCTGAGGCTTTCGCGGCACCACTGCCGCCATACCTCTCACGGGCCCACGCCTTGCTGCCAAGAGGCCTCCCTCCGCCCGACCAAGACGCCCTGGCGTATCTCGTGGATGCGATCCCGCACCACCCGCCAGACCTGCAGCCGCTTGTCGAGGCGGAGCTCGCCGCGGCACCGATGGAACCGCTAAACCTACCACCGCCCGCTGGCCCCCCCGCCCAAAACGCCGCGTGTGACCAGCCCGCGGCCGACGCTGAACCGCTTCTGCTCCAGCACGCAGCTGCCAGCGATATCAGCAACATATCCCTGGACTCGT